CGGCCCGCAGCGCCGGCAGCTCGTGGGTGGACAGGAAAGGGGGCAGCTGCAGCTCCTGCAGGTGCTGGCCGTACGCCGTCTCGCCCCGCGCCACCAGCGCCTCCAGGGCGCGGCGACGCTCCTCGCTGTAGTAGAAGCCGGGCTGGGCCGGCGACAGCCGCTCGTTCACGTGCGCCTCGTCCAGGCATCCCAGCTGCGACTCAGCCATCTTCCTCCCGGCCGCCCTCCTGCACCTGGAGCCAGCGCCAGGGAGGGGCCGCCTCACCTGGTTGAAGCCCCGCCCCGGCCCGGCCCTGGGCCGCACTGGAGCCTCTCCCCGGTCCGGGCCTGCGGTGTGTGAGGGAGCCGGGTGGCCCGTCACGGGGGCCGGTTGGAGAGGCTTGATGCTGCCTCAGGCAAGGGGAGGTCCCTCCAGCCCTACCCCTCTCTGTGACCCCTGAGAACAAGAGGAAGGGGCACCCAGGGGAGGGGAAGGTGGCAGGGCCGGCTTTCCCATTGTGCCTGGCCTGAGTTAGGCCAAGCTCCAGTGCCAAGGGGCCTCCCGAGGGCTGGGCGGGGAGGAGACTGGGCACCATTGGGCCACTTTCTCGCCCCTTGTCTGTTCGCATCTTGTGGGGTGGGGAGTTTCACTGGGGAGCATCCACTGGTTCCTGGGATGCATTTGAGGGGGGCCAGTGTGCTCTGCTTGGTGTCGTACCTCACTGCGCTCATTTTGACCTTTCACTCCTGACCTTGCTTTGTCTTTGAGTTGTCCCAAGCAATCAGTGATACGCTGTTAGTGGCCCCCCTCTCGCAGGGGGCTTTGGCCTGTGCTCCAGCATAGTGTATCAAAAGGCCAGGCCCCACCAAGTCCCAGGACTCCCTGGCACACTAGCCAAGCTACCCACCTACCTGACCAGGAAGGACACTGTGGGGCCATTTTCCTGTCTCTGGTCTGTTCACATCTCCAGCAGTTGCACTGAAAAGCATTCACTGGCTCCTTGGCTTCATTTGATAGCCAGTGGGGGCTGTCCAGCATGCTCCGCTGGGTGTCTCCCCTTGGCGCACTCGTTTTGGACTTATGACCCTCACTCCTGTCCGTTTTTTTTTTTTTGTTCCAAGCAACCAGTGCCCTTAGTGGCCCCCACCCCCAACAGAGCTAAATTGGTGGGCTTTTGCCTATGTCACAGAATGGCATATCAAAAGGTCCGACTGCTGGATGACCCAGCAAGAAAACCCCCTGTAATGGGGCCTTCTCAGGGCTGATTTTCCTATGGCCCACCCACTTGTTTCTGGGCAAACCACCTGCCTTCTCACCTGCCATGCCTTGTTGTTAGTTGATGTTAATAAAGCAAGAGGCTGCCCATTACTTGCCCCGATGCTAGAGGACGCTATCTACAGCTCCATTCCTCCCCTACACTGCAGCCCACACCTTGCAGATGGCATCCAGATGTTGTCCATATCACCAGCCCCATGCTGGGTCCCAGAATCCTACCAGTTGAACCCCACTTAGATCTCTCCATTCAGGCAGCCCATTCTGCCTTCATTCCCAGCTGCATAGCTCTCCGAGCTGCTCCCCCTTACAAGTGTGGTCTCCCCAGGACCTTTGGCTACTAGCCCTGGCCCACCTCCAAGCCAGTTGGTACCCCAGGCCCTCAGCTCTGGGCATTCCTCATGGTGGCCCTAGCATTGACTCATCAGGGGATGTTCAAACAAGTTTTTGAGTTTATGGCCTCACACTGTCTCTCTGGGGTCCACCTTCCAGACCTTATAAAAGGGGTAACCCACCCAGCTGTGGGGGCTAGGGTTAAGGTGCCCTCACCCACCTTTCACCAGGGAGGTAACTGGCCTGGCACTTCCTGGGGGCTCCCACGCCACTGAGAGCCCCACCAGGCCACCCACTCCCAGCAAGGTGCAGTTTTAGGTCATGCCCAGGACCAGGAGCCTCCGGATGATACCAGCAACCAGGTGATGTTGTTGCCTAACCTCCCAGCAGCAAAATGCCCTGTTTATATGGGCAGCCCTGAATCCAAAATGGCTGCCCTCATCAGGCACCGGCCGGCTGCTGTCTTCTGGCCCTTAAAGTGGCAGGCACCTACAGTGCCCTGCCACCCCCCGGCATAAAACTGTGCTAATAAGCAAAAAGAGACGTGGAGGGAGAGGACAAAAAACAAAAGCTACATATATAAAAGACCCTATCCAGGAGAGTGCAGGTGCTTGAATTTGGCAAACAAAACAAATAATGATAAACATCTTGCCAGAGAGAGAAGAGGACATAAGACAGAGGGGGTGGGGAAGGGTTGCACAAGTATAAATACAGGATTTGGGAGACCTGCCCCTCACAGAGATCTAGGGAAGTGTGACTAACATAGGGTATCTCTTGTCTCAACATAGAATAAACTTCACCAAATTGGACCGACTGTTAATCAGACCAACTTGTGTGCTGTCCAATGACAATACACCTTTCTGAGCTTTCTCCATTGAACATATATCCAAGTTTTGTTTCTGTCTGAAAGGCGGCTTGCTAGCTTTGGCCTTTCAGAACATACAGACTCCAGCAGTATCTACATCAACAGCAATCAGATACTACCTGAGAAAACACTCTGCACACATCAGAACAACAGTAGGCAAAGAAGCCTTTACAGGTACTGACGAAGGCAAGTTGTGGTACAGCTCTGCTATTTACCCAATGCTCATGGCTGTGGTTCTCAACTGTTTTAGACTCAGGGCACCGCTTGATCAACTCAAGGCCAACTCAAACCCTCTCAATAGATCCAAGACCACCCTAAGAAAATGCCAGGTCTTTGTTTTCACTTGATTTTTCACTACCAAAAATACTAGAGACATTCTTCTTCTGCAAAAAAATCAGAAAGACCACAGCAGATCAGAAGGCTCTTGACACTGGATTCCTGTGGGAAATCTCTAGTTTATCCTGTGAATCACATTATGCACCTGCCAGTGCTAATATTATGTGGCACCCCTGAAAGTATCTCACTACCCCCTGGTTGAGAATCACTGGCGTGGGAGGAATAATTCTACAAATGAGAGGCAGGAAGGACCCAGGTGATCTGGGAGGCCTTCATCATTGCTTTAAAAAAGAAAGGTGGTGCCCAGGTGAAGACTCCTCAGAGGAAGGTTGTGGGTGGAGAAGCCTTCCAAAGCACTAATGAAGGCAGTTTGTGGCACAGTGCTGCCCCTTACCAAATGTTTATGGCAGTGGTTCTCAACTGTTTTAGATGTTGGGCACCCCTAGATAGACCTGAGGCCTTCCTCAGTAGATCCAAGGCCTTGGAAAATGCCAACCCTTTTGTTTTCACTTAATTTTTGACTACAGAAAAATAAATACTAGAGCAAGTCTTCTGTTGCAAAGAAGGACCACAGCAGCTCAGAATGCTCTTGACACTGTGGATTCCTGTTGGAAATCTCACTCAATCCCTGGTTGAGAATCACTGGTATAGGAGAAAGGATGCCACAGCTGTGAGATGGGAAGGAACTGGGTTATTTGGAAGATCTTGACCAATTTTTTAAAGAAAAAACATGGTGCCCATTTGAAAGCTCAGAGAAGAGACAAACATTACGAGTAGAGAAACCTTTAGAACAGGCTTGTCCAACATATGGCCCGCAGGCCACCATGCGGCCCTCGAAGCTGTTTTCTGAGGCCTGAGGTGCTGCGACGGGAAACAAAAGTAAACACTGTACTTTCATTTGGGGTGGGGGTGATGTGAGCTTCTTGTGAGGTCTTTGAATATGGCTCGCCAGCCCACTGGATGATAAAAAGTTTGTGATCCAGCCCCACATTCAAAAAGGTTGGACACCCCTGCTCTAGAGGCACTGATAAAGGCACTTTATAGCACAGCTCTCTCATGTAGCAAATGTTTATGGCTATCCTGTCAGTGAGGTCTGCGTGTTTGTTTACCATGTCCAGAGTGGAAATGAGAATGAAAATTAATGCATCTAGTTCTTCTCACATCTTTTCCTTAGTAGCTCTCCAAGCCCTTTACAGGGGAGTCCAGTATCATTATCCAGGATTTGCAGCCAGGGAATTCTCTGGGGGAGATGAAGGGGTCCCAAGGTCATGCAACTTTACTTAGATGGACTAACTGTATTAAGTATCATTATGTTTTTTTCTTATTTAAATTGTGATATCATCTCAAGGCTCTGATTGGGATCTTGGCCCCAGTGCTATGCACTGCATATAAACACAGTAAAAAAAGACAATCCCTTTTCCCTGCGGTCCAGATCTATGATGACAGATAAGAGGTGAAGATAAACGAGTTGCGGGTGAGGCCAAGGTAATGGTGAAACATGTAGGCTCCTGCAGTTATACATGTGCTTACAAGTGTGATTACTCCTGCTACAAAATTACTCTTCTACATGAAGTTCAGCAGCTCCAAGATGCTTCTCAGGATCAGAGCTGCAGAGGCTGAACTCCCCCTTCTCCCTTTAAATGGTGGTGCAGTAATAGGTGATACAGTTTGAGAAGCTAGAGATAGGCTTGGTCTCCATCTGTCCTGTTGCTAGGCCCCTTCAGTAAGTGCAGGAAGGGTTTAGTATTCCAGGCTAGCCATCAGGACCTTGTCCTAGCATGAAATTCATTTAAAATTTTGAAACTGCACTGCAGAGAATTACTTGTCCACTTAGTGCGTTCCTTTTTTTTGGAATTAATTTCACTACAGGAGTTAGGTGGGGAGTTTTTTCCTTGTACTGCAGTCTGCCACTAGTTCTGCTACTTTGTGTGTGGCTAAGTAAAAACTCTGATCATCAGTATTCAGTCATTAAAGCAAAAGCTAATCCTTTACATTCAGAGAAGGTTCCCACATGCAAATCGGACTAGATTTACAATGCTGTGTTTCTTTATTCAATATGCTTTGTTTTATGTTTCAAGCAAATAAACATTTCTATCATCAAATTCATAACCTTTTGAGGAAGTATGGATTGCCAGTTCACTGTGATGAAACCTTTAGCCACTAATGAAGAACATCATATTAGGGGTGGTTTAAAAGTAAATTATAGCTCAGCAGAAGAGACCCTTTTTCCACGACTATACACAAAAGTGTAATCCAGCAAATGCGGTCCAGCTAATGGTATAACGTGCTGTAGGCTGCCTAACCCAGTTAGCAGGCTGTGGGTCCATATCATGAAAAACACCTTTACCATTAATACAAAATGATCCTCTTACTGGCAACCTCACTGACAAGGCTAAGGATTGAACAAAGGGAATCACAAAAACTAACTCCCCTCTCTTGCCATAGAGGTGGTCTATCACTCTGGGGCTGGAGAGGAAACTGTTTTTTATGTGGGGGCAAGAGGAAAAAGGGCACTTCTGTTGTGGGTGCCCATAGTTAGAGAAATCACCAGTCTCAATTCCAAGTCATACACTTGTTCTCCCATTACTGTAGCTCAGGTACTCTGTGGGTGTGTCTGCATGAGCTGCCCACTGTGCAATTGTTACTGCACAGTCATTTAATACTTGCATAACCAAGTATGAAATGACTGTGCAGTAACTTGCGTTACTGTACAGTGGTGTCCCAGCATGGTTGCCTACTAACGCTTACTGCATTACTACTGTGCACTAATGTCACATCACAGTTTGTGCCTGGAGACGCTACTGCACAGTAGTACGAGCTACTGCACAGTAAGTGTCCCATGTAGAGACATGGCCCGTATCACTACTATTTGCTCAGGGGACAAAGGCAGCAACCCAGTTTTAAGCTGGTCTGAAAAGACCGAAAATTTGAATGACTGCAAGAGTAACTGAGGGCTTTTTTCTGGGGTTCGCTACAAATGATAGCAGGGTCCCTGTACTAGTTGCATCCAAGCCACACTTTAGGTCTAGTTGAATTCCTAGTTGGTTCCAAAACCTTTCCCAAGGCAGAGAAGCTAACACAACAGGAAATACTGCCTCTTATTGTAACCCTCCCCCAGCTCCCATTACATTGCTTTAAATCTTCTGTCTTCAAACACCTCCCACATATATTCTGATTACTTGGGCTTAATTACTTTACTTTTCTTTGCAGTGCAATGCAGGTTGTGTATTAGATAAAGATATGACACCTTATATTTAGCATTAACTGTAGCTGTGTTCGTCTTTAGTATACATCTCTCTTGCCAGTCCTTCCTGTGTAATTTCAGTCCCTAAATAGCCCATCTCATGATATATTCTTAGATAAATTCCCTGTGGTGTTTTTCTGGTAACAATTTATGTCTCAAGCTCTTGTTACAAACTTTGGGTGCCTGGCTCTTTATAACATCCTCATTTGCTGCCTTTCTCCCCGCCCTTACAGCTAGCTTTCCCCCGAAGCAATGATAATCCGTGTCTAAACTGAAAATATGGGTACAAGCTAATATGGAGCAGTTAAAAATGAGTTTTGAAAGAAAACTGGATGACTCAAGGGATTGAGGATGTGATATGGAGCTTTACATGTCCAGGTAGTCTAGCTTCAGCTTGGCCCCCTCTCTTGGCCCCCTCACTTGAAGGCTATTCACTGACTTCTAAAATAGGGGAAATTAAGCAAACAGTTGCCCTCATCATAAATGTTATTAAACATAACCTCTTCCCTATTGCAGGTGACTCCCTTAGGAGAGGTCCGAAGAACTGAACAGGTAATGGAGACTACAGTAATTTCTCAGTAACGCTTCTTTCAGGCCTGGATTGAGTTTCAAAGACTGGATGAGGGGAAAAGTTTATATATGCAGGTAACCACCTAGTTACTGCCCTGAGACTGAGATTTTAATTTGTAAGGCCTCCCAAGCCAGCACAAATCACTGTAATTTTATCCAACTATTGGGCAAACTGGCAGGGCTAGGGAAGGGTCTGGAACAAAGTGCTCTTCAGGTGGAAAGAAGATACATCCTACTTTGCCATTCCCCCTCCACCAGTCTGGATATCTCCAGGAAGTGAAAGGATAGGTTGTGTGGCAAGCTGGCTTCTGCAGCAATCTGACAGGCTCTGAACTGGAGGAAGAACTGTTTTTACAGGTTTCTTTTTGCCTGTTACAGTGCACAGCCTCAGGGAGAAAACAAAAGCGCTGAATGAGGAAATTGCTTAGGCTGAGTCAGCCAATTTTGTCCATGTGCTCATGCCTTTCTAGTTCAGGAGAAACAGGGCCTCCCACTCAGTCCCTCTGTTATTGTGTCCATGCAGGGCAAATGGATAGAGGAGTCTTATGAAAACAAAAAAAGAATCAAGCATGGTCTCTGGCTCATTTTCTTAGTTGTTCCCACGGTGGAGACACCACTTTGCAAGGATCAAGGACACACAATAAGGCCCCCTACTTTTTCTCCTCAGTGGCTACCATTCATGGGACAACTGGACGGAGGAGTTCCTTGCAGAAAGCACCACTGGACCAGGGCACTTGCTCAGTCTTTTCATTTTGCCCACACAGGCAGAGGAAGGAAGGCCATGTATTAATGCAAGGGCTGTGGGGCTACCTGCAGGTCTGGAAATTTGGCTATGTGGCAAGTAGTAGCAGCATTAGTTGCTGCAGCTCCCAGAGTTGTGGCAATTAACTCTATTATCACTTGTCCTGCTGCCAAATTTCTGGACCAATGGGGAGCCACATGAGCTAGATCTGGCATTTGGAGCCACATCATTTAGCCCATAGGCTGGAAATATGGCAACAGGAGGAGTAATGGCTGCCTTAGTTTTGCGTGCCAGCAATTAATACTGTCACCTCCGGCCCTAAGGAGGTGGCAGCATTAAAGCTGCCACCTCCATCCCTGTAGACTAAAGGATATAGGCCCACAATCCATATCTGGCCTGTAGGGTTGAATGAAGTGGTCACCATTGCATTAACACATTGGACAATGACTCAGAACTAGCTACAGTGCCCAGCTCTGGCACAGACCTCCTATGTAACCACGGGCCAGTTACTTAACTCCTCACTGCCTGTTCCACAGCTCTAAAATCAGGATGATAACTTCCTCTTTCCGCTGAAGTGCTGAAAGGTTGAATTCAAAAGGGATGAAAACTAAATCAAGGTCACCTCCTCCTCCTACTTCAGCTTCTCCCATGCAGAGAAAAGGACAGAAGCGGGGGGGGGGTCCCAATGCAGAATAACCAAGCTCTTTATAAGCAGACATTCTGAAGAGGATACAATGTTTATTGCACAGGATGCTTAGTTATTATTATACAGGCACAGTAGGAAAGCGGCTTTACAGACAGGAGGTCACAACCCCATTGAAGTGCTTACAGTTTAAAATTAAAACAAGAAAGAGTTAAAAAAAACCCACAAAACCTTAGGGTAGATAGAGAAAAGGAGATATAGGTTCATGTGTTTACCCATATTTATTACTGGCTCCATTTGGAAAACAAGCTATAGATTATATTTGATTGCACATGTTTGGAGGACAGGATTCACAAGTGTACTGTGTGCACAGGCAATGGCATGAGGCCCAGTGATAGGAAAGGAAAGAGACAACTTATAGGAAACTCTTGGTGGAGGGAGCTGATGCCAGAAGAATAGACAGAAGACCAGTGATTTTATTTAGGGTCCTAAATATAAAGCCCAAACAATATGTGATGGTTAGGATGCAGCCAGCAGAGGGACTGCAAGAAGGAAGTTGTTGGCAGTAGGTTTATGACCCAGATACCTTGTTGCAGGAGGGCCCAAACCCTCAGACCAAATGACTTCTTCCATTTGATAATAGGCAAATTTTATTGATATACAGTAATAGATAAGAATAATGCAGGCAAAGCAAACAAAATAACTACCCCCGCTCCCCCGCCAATTCTCTGTCTACCAGTCCTAAAGGCCGCAGCAACTGAGAGCAAAATGGCCACT